GATTCCGCTAAAAGTGTGAAAAGTATTAGGTGAAAGGAGGGGTTGACCTGAATCTGAGGTCATAATGAGGTCATCATGCTAAGATCTAGGAGGAGACTCATGTTAGGAACTGAGGGAAAGCTGATGACATGATCTGACATGAGAATCATGTTGGCATCCTAGGGAACGACATGAGAATCATGTTGGCATCCTTGGAAACGACATGAGAATCATGTCGGCATCCTAGGAAACGACATGAGAATCATGTCGGCATCCTAGGGAACGACATGAGAATCATGTTGGCATCCTAGGAAACGACATGAGAATCATGTCGGCTTCCTAGGGAACGACATGAGAATCATGTCGGCTTCCTAGGGAACGACATGAGAATCATGTCGGCTTCCTAGGGAACGACATGAGAATCATATCGGCATCCTAGGGAATGACATGAGAATCATGTCGGCATCCTAGGAAACGACATGAGAATCATGTCGGCATCCTAGGGAACGACATGAGAATCATGTCGGCATCCTAGGGAACGACATGAGAATCATGTCGGCTTCCTAGGGAACGACATGAGAATCATGTCGGCATCCTAGGGAACGATATGAGAATCATGTCGGCATCCTAGGGAACGACATGAGATTCATGTCGGCATCCTAGGGAACGACATGAGAATCATGTCGGCATCCTAGGGAACGACATGAGAATCATGTCGGCATCCTAGGGAACAACATGAGAATCATGTCGGCATCCTAGGGAACGATATGAGAATCATGTCGGCATCCTAGGGAACGACATGAGAATCATGTCGGCATCCTAGGGAACGACATGAGAATCATGTCGGCATCCTAGGGAACGACATGAGAATCATGTCGGCATCCTAGGGAACGACATGAGAATCATGTCGGCATCCTAGGGAACGACATGTTAGTATCAAAGGCTCGTACCAACGTCAAGACAAAATAGTTATAGTTCATCGTGATTCAGTAATCAATGCCACTAAATCTAGAGGATAATTACATTTAATGGTATTTAAAACACTGAGTATGATTACAGAGGGTGGTATTTAGAACACTTAAGAATGACAGTGTAAGATGATATTTAGAACACTGAGAATAATCACAGAAAATGGAATTTAAAACAATAAGCATAAGTAAAAGCAGACATCTAGAAACCAATTTTGATAATTTGTATTTTGAGAGAGACAGACAGACAGACAGACAGACAGACAGACAGACAGACAGACAGACACGAACCTCTGGACCAGCATCGTTAGCGTTAACAGAGGAAACAAACTCCTTGAGAAAGCCATCCAGTTCAGAGCCCTCAATGTAGCCATTACCTGGGAAGAAATACCTACATTATATTCTCATTACTTATTTTACATATAAATAATGTACTGGAATAACTGAAATTGAGTTATAAGTGTACAATCATTTATAGTTGATTAATATAGATGACAGAGTTAGTTGATTCAACTAACTTCAATTAACTTGAGTTTTATTATTTAGTTTAGATACCCACAGTTTTAAATTACCGAGTTAAGATTCCCAGAGGTCTTAAATACCGAGTTAAGATTCCCAGAGGTCTTAAATACTGAGTTAAGATTCCCAGAGGTCTTAAATACCGAGTTAAGATTCCCAGAGGTCTTAAATACTGAGTTAAGATTCCCAGAGGTTAAGATTCCCAGAGGTCTAAATACCGAGTTAAGATTCCCAGAGGTCTTAAATACTGAGTTAAGATTCCCAGAGGTCTTAAATACCGAGTTAAGATTCCTAGAGGTCCTAAATACTGAGTTAAGATTCCCAAAGGTCTTAAATACCGAGTTAAGATTCCCAGAGGTCTTAAATACTGAGTTAAGTTTCCCATGAAAATCTCCTTTAATTCAGTTGACTACTTTATTGTATCAAGTACAGGACTTCATTGTATCTACAACACCATAGAGAAACATTAACAATATATTTAACCCGCAGATAACATACTCATTATGAGACCTTCATCAAATATCTTCAAATCTCATGGAAATCATACACACTCGAATCGGTATACATAAAGTAAACTATACAATAAAGTATCCAGTAATACAAGTTGAGTAACGTTCATACAACTGTCACTATACCAACATTCCAGTAATGAGTATTGATACAGTACTGGAATGAAGCTGGAATGAATAAATTCTCTTCTGTTTTCTACTCAAACTATTTCTGAACTCTAATGACATAAAATACATATTATCATATTAGTAATTGAATCAGAACCGTTCCAGAGCTTGTAAAAGATCCGGGACTATGTGTTTCCCCCTCCACCGGGGGATCGAACCCGGAACCTAAGGACTACGAATCCCGAGCGCTGTCCACTCAGCCGTCAGGCAGAAAAAGGAAAGACAAAGGAAAGACTTAAGAAAAGTTCCAGGACTCACCGTCGGCGTCGTAGTGGCTCCAGACTTCCATGAATTGGTTGGCGGTGAGTTTCTTGAGTTCCCGTGACTCATCATCCCTGAACTGGCGCATGAAGTTGTTGCACTTCTCCTGAGAATTCATCTTCCTTTGGTAGGCGGTGAGTCCGTCAGAGCCAACTGCCATACTGTGGAGAGGAAACATTCATCACTCATGCGTCTCTGAACGGTAGGGACTCATCAATCATGCGTCTCTGAGGAGCTGGACTCATCACTCATGCGTGTGTGTATGTATATACACACATATACACAGCCCAAGTGACTACACAAGCTAACAACACATAGCTACTATGATCTTAACAAACACGTAAGACAGTGGCTTAATTGGTTCTCAGAACACCTGGCGTGATTATACACTCATACAGGTATACAGGTTGTATACCTGATCTTAATGATGCTTATAAACAGGTGTCTCAACAGGTATAACACCTGCGTGAGGCCCCAACACGCCATCTGGGGGGTTGAATAATCAACCCTGAGGCGCACCCACCAACCCCCAATCCATCCCCCCCAACAGTCAACAATTCCACAGGAGGTGGTACGATGGTTAGCTGTAAATAGCCCAGAATGATTGACATGTTCCGTGACCCGGGCAAGAGGTCAGGTCAGCGTGTGAAGGCTGAGCAAACAAACATGATCGTGTCAAAAGAGATTTGAGGATTAAAAAGATATTCGACTCTAAAATGGCATGACAGAGGGGATGGTGAGAAGATTGAAAGGTAAACAGAGCATGTTAGAGCTTGATGGGTGGGGGAAGGGAGGGGGATCACCCCATCCCAGAGAGAGAGAGAGAGAGAGAGAGAGAGAGAGAGAGAGAGAGAGAGAGAGAGAGAGAGAGAGAGAGACAGAAAGAGAGAGAGAGAGTGAGTCTTCGATCTCCCTGTCTGTCGGAATGCAATTAAACTCTCTTATTTGTCTCTGGAATATTGTGTATTAAATCCTGTTGTTTGTTTTCCGTTTGTGATTGAATTCTTCTCGTTTATATATATATTCTGAAACGTTGATCAAGATGTTCATTTTGTGATTGTAGCCCAATGTGATAAGTGGTTTACTCTGTGTTCTGGGAAGGCGAAGGGGACGTAGGTGAGCAAGACTTGTGTTTTGTTAACTCTCTTCCTCTCTCTCTCTCTCTCTCTCTCTCTCTCTCCCTCTCTCTCTCTCTCTCTCTCTCTCTCTCTCTCTCTCTCTCTCTCTCTCTCTCTCTCTCTCTCTCTCTCTCTCTCTCTCTCTCTCTCTCTCTCTCTGTCTCTCTGTACACCGTATGTGTTGACCTCTACACCTGCTACTTGTCAAGGCGCCATAACAAATGTCACAGCTGTTGCCTCTCTCATCACTGTGACACTAAATCAACAGGTGTCAAGGCCACATTATCCACACACAAACATGTATCAAAGTTAAGCTGTGTCCACACACAAAACATGTGTCAAGCTAAGTGTCCACACACAAACATGTGTCAAAGCTAAGCTGTGTCCACACACAAACATGTGTCAAAGTTAAGCTGTGTCCACACACAAACATGTGTCAAAGCTAAGCTGTGTCCACACACAAACATGTGTCAAAGCTAAGCTGTGTCCACACACAAACATGTGTCAAAGCTAAGCTGTGTCCACACACAAACATGTGTCAAAGCTAAGCTGTGTCCACACACAAACATGTGTCAAAGCTAAGCTGTGTCCACACACAAACATGTATCAAAGCTAAGCTGTGTCCACACACAAACATGTATCAAAGCTACAAATTATCGTTTTAGAGTACCGAAAATGTATTAAACAAATGTGACGTTTCATCTCGAGTCTATTATGCTTTCAGACCAAATAATATAATTTCGTTATATTCTTTCAAGTAAATATCACCAAATATTGTGTAAATATATATATAATATACAAAGGTGGTAGGAGAAGATAATATTAGTGTTCAGTGAGAAACGACAAGGTCTTCTCTGAATACTGTTTATTTTCTTCTCCAAGGCTATGGGTCCCCATATTAGCACCGGAGGTGGTACCCTCATAATATTCAAATGTTTACAAAATGTAATATGTCCGCGTAAAATGTACTGTCTGCCCCTCTTCCATGGGGGCAGACAGTTGGTGTGTGGGACTACGTCCAGCCCAACCACTTGGGCTGGACAGTAGAGCGACGGTCTCGCTTCATGCAGGTCGGCGTTCAATCCCCGATTGAACGGGGAGAGTGGTCCCCGTGCCCATCCATCTAAGTGGTTGGGCACTATTCCTTCCCCCAGTCCCATTCCAAATCTTTATCTTGACCCCTTCCACGTGCTAAATAGTCGTAATGGCTTGGCGCTTTTTCCTGATAATTCTCTCCCTCCCTCTTCCATGGGTATATAGTGATGCCATCTGGGTGAAGTGCTGGGTCATCCGGGTTTTGGTCTCCTAGGATGCGAGGTTCTCTCTCCGCTGGGCACTGAGCTGAGGCAAGGCTCCTCTTGATGATGTCATTGACCTCGTTGTGTCTTGCATCTTGGGTCTTGCATCTTGCAACCCTTGGATCTTTTGCAGTGCAACCCATGCAGTCCGTATTGGTCTGCTTCCACCCTGTTGCAAATACACTTGTATTCATTGTGAATTGGGGCACCAAGGCAGAGGGCCGCTGCTACACGTAGGGATTCTGGATATAGACGCGTGCCTGTTACTGACATGGGCACTGCCAGAAGGAAGTCCCCTGCATGGGGGGCACGTACTGCTCTGAGGCGAGTTTTCTCCTTGTCTGATGTTGCGGCGCTGAGCATGGCATCAACTGTTCTTTCCACTAGCGGGTGGTCCCAGTTTGACTATGTGTTTTTTATTGGACTTATGACGGGTGCTGGGGCTGCAAGAGCATCCCACTGATTTAAACATTCAGTGAAAGCAGGATCGCGTATTCCTGCTGAATCCCTCAGAGGTTCTAATAGGATATCTCTTATGAGGTCTTGCGATGCACAAGAGGAAAGGAAGACTGGTAGAGCAATCTGGGAGGCTGTGCGGACACCAAGACCCCCGAGTCTTACAGAGATGGTTGCTTGCTCCCATTAAGAGTCGTCCAACGGAAGGTTCAGGACATTTTCCTAGCATGAACCTCAGAAGTGTGTCATACTTACTTAATTTGCGTCTGGTGTAGGATGGAGAACACCTCAGAAAATAAGTTAACTTAGGGGGAGAGAGAGATAGACATCTTGTGAGGAGGAAGAGAGCATCATGGGCATCGATCTCGTCAGTCATGTCCAGCATTTTTCCTTGGATCAGTGATTTTTGCCTCCAGGGCCATGTCGATTGCTTGCGGGCCAATGGGGGCCCCCAGGAGGATGCCGTCAGGGGACTCGGCAACGAGAATGTCTGGAAGAACAGTTTTTATGTGGCCGGTGATGTCTGGGTTGCGGGAGACTATTTCACATTTGGATGCATTGAGAATGAGGCCCAAAGCTGCTCCCTGCTCCTGGATTTTCCATATATCCTCCAAAATGGTATCCGGGGTTCCAGCGAGAGTGCCATTATCCAGGTACCAGATGTTTAGCTCGCTTGTCACACTATCAGTGACCTCTTTGATAGCTAAGTAGAAAAGGAGAGGGGCTAAGGGATCACCTTGTAGGACAACTTTTTTATCAGTCTGTTTCATGTCGCCACTGTAGCATGATTGGATGAATGGGTACAGAGGAAGGTAATGGTTATATATATATATATATATATATATATATATATATATATATATATATATATATATATATATATATATATATATATATATATATATATATATATATATATATATATTTATACTAATTTAATGCTACTTTTTGTGTATTAGTTTTAATTTATTAGCAGAAGTTTTCTACGTAGGTGTAGATAAGAAAATAGCAGCCGTCCCAGGCCTCGGGGCCTCCCAGAACCATCCCAACATTCAATATTAGTGTATTATCGTACACACTCAACATCTCTGCAACATCTTCCTTACCACCGTCATGATCACAAATTAAAATTTTCAATATATATAAAATCATAAGATCATGATCTTCACTACACACAAACATCACTACACAACTGGAGTATGCCCAGTCTAAGTTTTTCAAAATATACGAATTTCTTCGTGGCTAACGCACCATTAAACAAAATTTCGGGTTCAGGCGGGGACCCTAAGGCCTAAAAAAAAGTTTTTCTGGGTTTTCAAAGCTCCCGTAATCAGAGCTTATAGACCCAAGGTTATATCTTATCTAGAGCATATAGCTTTACCTGGTTGATGGGGTTCTGGGAGTTCTTCTACTCCCCAAGCCCGGCCCGAGGCCAGGCTTGACTTGTGAGAGTTTGGTCCACCAGGCTGTTGCTTGGAGCGCCCCGCAGGCCCACATACCGACCACAGCCCTGAACCTTCCCCTTATCAGTCTCTAATACTTTTATGTTTTTACCTAAGATCTGCTCAGTGGTTTCTTTATGCATACCGGACAAACAGACACGTTGAGAGGCGGGACCAAAGAGCCGAAGCTCAACCCTCGCAAGCATAACTAGGTGAGTACATGGACAGACAGACAGACACGAACAACGATATCGACAGATATACAGACCTATCCTCTTAGAGAATGACCTGTTATCATTTATCCCCCTCGTTCATTGCCCTCGTTAAGGTGAATCCAATATCAGCTATTCCCTTTTCACTAAGGAGTGTAACATATCGCTGAACGGCCGCCGCTCTCTACAAACCTCAACATACCTCCTGTAATAGTTGTTATGACTCAATTATATTAATGGAGTAAATAACTATTAGCAACAAGTACGGTGTTTGTCAGCAAGTGTTCACTGGTGACTTATTGCAGAGCGTTGCAAAGGTGGCAGCAGTGATTATTGTAGAGCGTTGCAAAGGTGGCAGCAGTGATTATTGTAGAGCGTTGCAAAGGTGGCAGCAGTGATTATTGTAGAGCGTTGCAAAGGTGGCAGCAGTGATTATTGTAGAGCGTTGCAAAGGTGGCAGCAGTGATTATTGTAGTATTGCAAAGGTGGCAGCAGTGATTATTGCAGTGTTGCAAAGGTGGCAGCAGTGATTATTGTAGAGTTGCACTCCTGTCATCTGTGTCCTGGACCCAGGAGGCAGCTGTGACAAGGGTAATATTGACAAAGATTGCAAGGCTGTTTCCTCAACACGTCTGGCACATGTGAATTGCCTTTTGGCAAGCCATTACGGCTATGTAGCACTGGGAAGGAGTCAGGATAAGGATTAAGGATGGGACGGGGGGAAAGGAATGGTGCCCAAACACTCGTGGACGGTCGGGGAATTGAACGCCGACCTGCACGAAGCGAGACCGTCGCTCTACCATCCAGCCCAAGAGTGGAAGGAGAGGGAATGTTCACAATACCAAAGAAATTAAGAGGGTACGGATGGAATCTTGAGACACATCCACACTAATTCAGAATGAATCACTACACAAGAACTGAGACAAACTCGGCTGACCAGTCCCAGAACTGAGAGGTATGAGCTACGAGGAAAGGCTAAGGGAGCTAAATCCTCACGTCCCAAGAAGACAGAAGAGTAAGGGGAGACATGATAACCACCTACAAAATTCTCAGTAGAATTGACAGGATGGACAAAGACAACATCTTCAACACGGGTGGGACACGAACAAGGGGACACAGGTGGAAACTTGAGTACCCAAATGAACCACAGAGACGTTAGAAAGAATGTTTTCAGTGTCAGAGTAGTTAACAAATGGAATGTCTGAGCCACATAGATAAAAAGGTACTTTTAGCGTAAAAAATAAATAAATAAGAAAAATAAAAAAACTGAACGAAGCGATGGTAATAACGAAGTCCATTCGTTGTTGCTGTTAAAGATTCGTTACCTGGAACAAAAAGTTCCAAGTAGCACGGGCTATGGTGAGCCCGTATGAAGTCCATTCATCTTGAGGTTATCTTGAGATGATTTCGGGGCTTTTTTAGTGTCCCCGCGGCCCGGTCCTCGACCAGGCCTCCACCCCCAGGAAGCAGCCCGTGACAGCTGACTAACACCCAGGTACCTATTTTACTGCTAGGTAACAGGGGCATAGGGTGAAAGAAACTCTGCCCATTGTTTCTCGCCGGCGCCTGGGATCGAACCCAGGACCACAGGATCACAAGTCCCGCGTGCTGTCCGCTCGGCCGACCGGCTCCACTTCATAGCACCAAAGGCAGATTTGACCGTAAGAGAAATCGAGAATCGTTTTAAAAAAAGTCATGATTCTGCCATTCGGCATTTTGATCCGGAAAGTGCATGTAAAAGCCAAAAATAATTCAGACACACATATAACAGCCGTCCGTCTAATCACTCACCCCCCCCCAATCCCCTACAGATTGGGCAACAATTCCCATCATGGCGGGGAACTTTGCTATTTTGCCCCCTCTGTTTGCTAGGGGTTTTCTCCGCGGTGAGGCAGGGAAAAGTGTTTGGTCATTAGCACTTCCTGTATGAACTACCCTTTTTCTAGGGTGATTAGGGGAATTTGAACTTTGGCAATTGACTTGTTTTTCTTGCAGTTCTCTGTTCCTCTGCAGTTTATAATTGGGCAGTTCAAAAATACTCTGAAAACTTGATTTTTAGGGAAGGCAAAATTGTTAATGCCCAATTGCTGCCTCAACGCATCGAGTTTAGGTAATTTGCTGGTTCAGCCCCACTGAGTTTGGCTACTTCCTCGCCCAACCCAACCCCACGAAACAGGCTATCTTGAGAGGTTATCTTGAGATGATTTCGGGGCTTTAGTGTCCCCGCGGCCCGGTCCTCGACCAGGCCTTCATCCCCAGGAAGCAGCCCGTGACAGCTGACTACCACCCAGGTACCTATTTTACTGCTGGGTAACAGGGGCATAGGGTGAAAGAAACTCTACCCATTGTTAGGAAAAGGAACACACACTATTCCTCTGCCAGCCACTAACCTAACCTAGGGAGCCGGTGGCTGAGCGGACAGAACACTGGACGCGTGATCCTGTGATCCCGGGTTCTATCCCGGGCGCCGGCGAGAAACAATGGGCAGAGTTTCTTTTACCCTGATGCATCTGTTACCTAGCAGTAAATCAGTAAATAGGTACCTGGGAGTTAGTCAGCTGTCACTCGCAGCTTCCTAGGGGTGGAGGCCTGGTCGAGGACCGGGCCACGGGGACACTAAGCCCCGAAATCTTCTCAAGATAACCAGACTCGGCCATATTGGTGCCAGCCCCGGGGGCCATATTGGTGCCAGCCCCGGGGGCCATATTGGTGCCAGCCCCGGGGGCCATATTGGTGCCAACCCCGGGGCCATATTGGTGCCAGCCCGGGGGCCATATTGGTGCCAGCCCCGGGGGCCATATTGGTGCCAACCCCGGGGCCATATTGGTGCCAGCCCCCGGGGCCATATTGGTGCCAACCCCCGGGGCCATATTGGTGCCAGCCCCCGGGGGCCATATTGGTGCCAGCCCCCGGGGGCCATATTGGTGCCAACCCCCGGGGGCCATATTGGTGCCAGCCCCCGGGGCATATTGGTGCCAACCCCCGGGGCCCATATTGGTGCCAGCCCCCGGGGCCATATTGGTGCCAGCACCCGGGCCATATTGGTGCCAGCCCCCGGACCATATTGGTGCCAGCCCCCGGGGCCATATTGGTGCCAGCCCCGGACCATATTGGTACCAACCCCCGGGGCCATATTGGTGCCAGCCCCCGGGGCCATATTGGTGCCAACCCCCGGGGGCCATATTGGTGCCAGCCCCGGGGGCCATATTGGTGCCAGCCCCCGGGCCATATTGGTGCCAAACCCCCGGGGGCTATATGGGTGCCAGCCCCGGGGCCATATTGTGTGCCAGCAACCGGCCCCATATTGGTGCCAGCCCCGGACCATATTGGTGCCAGCCCCCGGGGCCATATTGGTTGCCAGCCCCGGGCCATATTGGTACCAACCCCGGGGCCATATTGGTGCCAGCCCCCGGGGGCCATATTGGTGCCAACCCCCGGGGGCCATATTGGTGCCAGCCCCGGGGGCCATATTGGTGCCAGCCCCCGGGTCATATTGGTGCCAGCCCCGGGCCATATTGGTACCAACCCCCGGGGCCATATTGGTGCCAGCCCCCCGGGGGCCATATTGGTGCCAGCCCCGGGGGCCATATTGGTGCCAGCCCCCGGGCCATATTGGTGCCAGCCCCGGGCCATATTGGTACCAACCCCCGGGGCGATATTGGTGCCAGCCCCCGGGGGCCATATTGGTGCCAACCCCCGGGGGCCATATTGGTGCCAGCCCCGGACCATATTGGTGCCAGCCCCCGGGGGCCATATTGGTGCCAGCCCCCGGGGGCCATATTGGTGCCAGCCCCGGGCCATATTGGTGTCAGCCCCGGGCCATATTGGTGCCAACCCCCGGGGGCCATATTGGTACCAACCCCCGGGGGCCATATTGGTGCCAGCCCAAGTAGTGACCACACTCCCAACACACGCTTCGCTCAAAAGCTTGGCAGTATTGATCTAGTGTGTTAAAGGAGAACACACTACCTTGGGGAAGTGTGGTAACCACCCCCCCACCATCCCACCCCTCCCCATTAACGACCCTCCTTACCCATTACCCCCCCCTCCTTAACTACCCTCACAAACCCCCTTAAACACACACACTCCATACAAGCCGGAGTGTTTAAAGAACACATATTTACTCTGGCTGACTCACCCCTCACACGTGTCTCAACCTACAAGCGTTCTGTCAAGAGGATTTTCCTCACCATTTCTCACTATTTCTCACCATTTCTCACTATTTCTATCACTATTTCTCACTATTTTCTCACTATTTCTGTCACTATTTCTCACTATTTCTATCACCATTTCTCATTATTTCTATCACTATTTCTCACCATTTCTCATTATTTCTCACTATTTCTATCACCATTTCTCACTATTTCTATCACTATTTCTCACCATTTCTCACTATTTCTATCACCATTTCTCACTATTTCTATCACTATTTCTCACCATTTCTCACTATTTCTATCACTATTTCTTACTATTTCTATCACTATTTCTCACCATTTCTTACTATTTCTACCACTATTTCTCACCATTTCTCACTATTTCTATCACCATTTCTCACTATTTATATCACTATTTCTCACTATTTCTATCACTATTTCTCACCATTTCTCACTATTTCTCACCATCTTTGTCTCTCAGTAAATGCTAGATTAAACCGGTTGGCGACAGATATTTCTCAATGATTGCTTTCTCAAACACGGGCTTCACGGTTTTTGAAACTGCGGTGAATTTAATTATTTTTTTTTTTT